CACAGAAATACCAGCATCATCATTGAGTTTTGCATAATATGCAAACTCCTCACTAACGTCCCTCATCGTACGGATAAACCGTTTTGTTCTCTTAGTGTGGAGTTCGTGATTGTGGACGTCCTTCCATTGATATATCTCATATTTACCGCTACTAGGTTCGTAACGGCACCTAGCCACAGCTTTACATCCAAACCGAGTCTCGCCCCTCTTCCTCTTCTTATTAGGTTCTGTGTCTACCACAATCACGAACTCCACACCACCTAGCCACAGCTTTACATCCAAACTGAGTCTCGCCCCTCTTCCTCTTCTTATTAGGTTCTGTGTCTACCACAACACCGACATTCTTTGCATTCAGCGTGCTCCCTGTTTTGAACACTTCTTTGTTGCACCGTGCTCCAAAGTAAAACACCTTCCGTTGCTTAAGATATTTGGGTTTTCGAGTCTGTTCTCCAATACGTCTTACTCCAAAACCTCTCCAGTGTGTGAAGTCTTTGTAGAACTTGACAAATGCTTCCCTATTTTCAAATCTCAAATGCTGCCATGTCGATTTGTCGTCCGGGACTACTTTATACACCTGATCTGCAATTTGTAAAACAACAATTAATCACTACCATTCCAATAACTCATACTACAACTAACAAAGCACTACCATTTGTTGCAAATATGCCAAAAAATCACTACCATTGTAGTACCTAATACAAAAGTCAGAACCAATACCAATCCAATCAAACAAATACCAATGCGATACGAACTACCAATAACAATCCAACATATACCAATGTAAGGACTACCATTATTCCTAAACAAGTACGTAACAATACCAATCCGAAACATGTACGTAACAAACACATCAGCAACATGAACGTGGAAAACTTCACCTGCAGCTTCGTCAGAATTGTCACAAGCGTCGCCTACAAAGCCTTCTTCCACAGTTTGATCTCCGACGAGACCTGACCCTTTGCAAGGATTTCCGACCAAAAGGGATTTCAATATTTTGCCGTTCAAGCAAAAGCATACAATCATGAATGGGTTAGATTCTTACCGTCGTTGCTTTGGATTTCCATATCCTCTTCCTCGCCACCAGAAATAGGACTTTCTCCGAACAACACTTCCATTGCTAGCCTTCTACGCTCTACCAAATCCGGCGATGATGCGACGTCGGCGGTCGCCATTTTCTCCCTCCGATAACGTGTACACGGCGGCAGAAATAGGGACCGGCAAAAAATCGGAGACTTTGAAAAGCCCTACGCTGATTAAAGTACCTAATAATTAGTTACCGTAATTATCTCTCCCTAATTAATTGCGTAATTAAAATGGTAGTTTGAATTAGAATGGAAGCAAAATACCCTTCTTATCCCTAGTAACCACGGTGCACTAAGTATCCACCATAACCTGTCCCTGTCCAACACCGGTCTAGTTGGCATCAGCACCCATTGGAACGCTCTCCGTGGAAAGCTCAAGCGAGGATTAATAGTTCCGGCCAGTGAATCTTCTTTCATTTAAGGGCATCACAGTTCAATGAATTGGTACTACAGGCCTGAAAAAGGAAATCATAAAGCCTACCTAATAATTATATGCACTAACCATCAAAATAATAATGATGATTATTGTTATATGCACTAAAACCTCATCAAGTAATTTCCCAGGTAGGTTCACACTTTGCATCCAAGGGCACCGAATTTATGTAGTGATAGCACATTAAGCACACACAAACTACTAAATAGAAACCATAAGCTTAGTGGGGAGCAATCCAGCAGCCTCATTAGGGTAGTCACAGGAATCGCAAAATGAATCCTTTCATGACCACATAGAGCAACAATATGCCGACATGGTAACACAAAAGGGGAGAAAAGATAAATTTAGAATGAGGTAAGTTTAGAAATGGTAAAATAATGCATCATTGAAACCTCTTAACAATCTCCCCATCACAAGCATGCTAACACCATCTAACATTGCTAAAAAAACTCTTTTCAATATCGATCATTCATGTCTATATGATATCCTAGATGCTTAAGGTTACTAAAACGCAGCAAGATAGGATGTTGAGTTCCAAATGGCTAAAAAACCGAATAAAAATCTCGAAAACAAATCAAACAAAAGAGAGCATAAATTTGCTCCCCTTCGTCCTACCTATGTATCTTGTTGGAGACACTCTTTGATGAAACTGAGGCGGCAAACACTTCTATAATTAATTGGGTAAATAGCATAAGAGAAAAGAGTTGTACCATCAAGTGGCACAGAGAAATAAAATAAAAACAACGGGGAATTTAGACACCACCGTCAATCATATTTAGCTAAATTTAAATCCAAGGCATGAAATCTATAATCTAATGAAACAAAACATACAAAGGTACATGTAAAATAAAAAAAGAGGATTGCTTGATTGTAAAAAGTATTTGATCCAAAGCAACTATTAGACTGCAAGTCAATCTTTCTTCTGAGTGGCTGCAAAAGAAGCAGCTAAAAAACTCTAGAGTTTGGAATCGGAACACTACCTTGGGTTACAACATTTATGGACACTGGATAAATCAACTCTGCTCATGCATCTCAGATCCATTAACACCAAGGCTGTGCTCTGCTACTAAATCTGTGGAAGGCACCTGTAGCAGCAAATGGGACGTGTCAAATGGGGTATTATAAGATTAGAATAAAACATCTGAATAAGAAAGCGTGTATATAGGGAGGAAATAACACCAAATATTTGTACGCATAGACTGGAAGCTCGAACAATGTGTACAAATTGAGAACACCCTCTTCAGGCTCAACTATCACACTTTCGCCCATGATTGAAGCGCGAAGAAAGAATATAGTGAGGTGCATAAGGAAAAAAATTCAAGCATAAGAGCTCACCACTACTGGTTGCTTCGTTGTTCTTTTGGAAGCTTCCACAGGGAAGAGTAACAATAAGCTCAACACTATATATCCATGGAGGATGGAGACTTTGATGATGCAAAATCCCACCAATATCTTCCTCTGACCTAATGCACTTGACTCCAGCATTATCAGCTATCATTGATATCCTTGCAAACTGAGAATGGTAATAGCAGAGAACAAAACAAACAACTGTAAGAACTGAGCAATACGAATGCAGGACCAAAGAAAATGAACAAAGCAGTACCGCCAGGGTTCATGTTCGTTCGCCGTTGATGGCCATCCCTCGTCTACAAATTCTTTCTCCCCCCTCACTTATTCTCTCTACTTCCTCAGTTGTCCCAAACCCGCCACGCCTTAACAAAGAACAGTGAGACATCAATTAACAGAAGGGCAATAATTAAGTGATTCAAGAGATAAAGGATAATGGCACTTTGTTTTGCTATGATTAAGTGACTTTAATAGTGCTTATGGCCTGTTTGCAGTGCATTGCTGAAAGTTAAAAAAAAACATTCGTGTTCCGCTTCCTAAACATTTGTGGATAACCTATTTCCTACTGACAATATCAGAAACCCAAGAGGCAAATTTTTATTGAGGCAGAACTCAAAACTGAAGAAGTGCACTCATGCAAGAGGGGAAGTGCTAAGTTAACATGTATTTGATCATCATGCTTAGCAGGAATTGATCTTTACCACTATCTCAGGCAGTGATTGATGCTCACACTGACCCAATCGCATTGAGCCTATCAATAAAATGAAAGAAACCAAGTTAACACCATTGACTAAAAACGAATTCAGTGTAATCAATTAACTTTAGCTGATGAAAGACACTTCACCAGTGGAAGCTACCCGGCCTCGCAGAAATTTTGCATTTAACATAATTTAACCAATAAAAGACGAAAACCACATAATAAGCACAAATAGTCCAGAAGCTGAAATTGATATTCATTTTGGAAAACACATAGAACGAAAAGCACTTGCACCTTCAATTTCCTTGTGGAGCTGCTTACGATGCTTTGACCAGAGCTACTTCTTGATCGACAACTCATTCGTTCGTCCTTCCTGAGATATGAATTTAGTGTCCAAAATATCATGATTAAGTTCTACTGACACTTAGAGTGAATCAATGGATTCCTTGAGATTAAGACCACAAAATGAAATGTCAAAAATGAGAAAAGGTGGAAGGAAAATGCACTCATCAAAGAAAATGGATCCGGAAAAAGGAGGGAGTAGAGGTTGAGACCCATTTCGAGGCAAAAGAGGCCTTACCCTGGGCGCTTTAGCTTTGTGTTGTATAGTAGAGTGATGTCCATAGCTTTCTAAGCGTATGGGTGTTCCTCTCTTCCAACTGGGTAAAAAGAATAAGAAAGGTAAGCACAAAAGCAGATAACAACTAATCCACCAACAAAATCAAATGCTGAATCAAATCCCCATATGAGCTTTCTAGATTGAAAAGCGATCATATGGACTACACTTCTACATTATATCTTTGTAAACGTAATTACAGAACCCAACACACAAATAAATCATTCCCCCTTCACAGATTTAGATGTTAGTGTAAAGGACAAAGTTAGCATGAAAAGCAACAACGATAAACCATATACATAGAATGAAGGGAAGAAGTTTCATAAAAGAGATAAAAGCAAGGAATGAGTAGTTGGTCACAACCTTTCCTATCGAGCTCTGCAGGCATGTATTAACAGGCTTCAAAAAGTGTGATTAGTGGGGTTTACATCATCGCGACATTGTTGTTAGATGGAAGAAATACACACACAGAGAGGGGCATACAAAGAGAAGCGATTCGATGATTCGAAATAAAAAACCAGAAGGCAGATGGAACATAAAAAATAAAGAATAGAATGGCCAAAAACCAACCGTATGTTCTTCAGTGAGGTCCGTATGCCTTTACGTTCGTTATGTCGTTTATCTCTTCATTTTCACCTTGTCTTTTCTTCTTTCTCTTCGTCTTCTTCTTCTGCTTCCTTTCCTTCTGCTTTTTGTTCTTCATTTTCTTTGCCTATGAAAACGGTGAGATCAGATCAATCTAGGGTCCGTGTTCTTGTATTTTTTTCGGTGAGAATTTCTTAAGAGAGAGTCAATAAATATGAATTTCCACAAAGAAAACCATACCTATCGAAGCACAGCACCGCCGTCGGGTTCACTCACAACTCTGTTTCCAGCCTCGCGTTGCCATCTTAATACCGCCGTCACCGCGCTACCACCAGACAAGTGTTGCCCGTCCCCCATCACTGCTAAGGCCCGAGCCTTGAACAACAAATTGGAGCCGACATATCCCTCATGTCCGTTGGCAAAAACACAACAAACAATCACGAAAGGGATAAATCATACAAAGATGTATGTGGAAGAATAAAAAAAATATTTATCCCGCAACTGAAAAACTTGGACATGCAGGGCATCAATTTAAACTCGGAGAGCGATGAATGGCAGCTCACCAGACTCAATTGTTAGCACGACCACCAACACAAAAATGGATTGCCAATCAAGCTCTTTCCTTCTCACCCTACTCGTCTCGTACTCCTTGTGCTCAAGTTCAGAGTTCCTGCAGATGTTATTGGGAAAACCTTTTCCATTAAATCCCAATTCATAATGATCCCAGGGTTTCCCCCTTCCCCACCACTGCCATGGTTGAAGCTTTTCACTTTGATCCGTCTTAGTTGTACGACAGTGAAGAATAATAATAGAACATAGCAAAATTCAATTCCAATGAAAATGAGTGGAGAAGGAGAGTTACTGGCACGTCGATCCTATATCACTATTTCTATCAGGCCTCGTTTGGAAAGGGAAAGAAAAAGATGACCAAGGCATAATGCAGACACGCAGAAAGCAGAGCTTCAATTCAAATCAATGTATTTGAGAACCAAAACAAATGTGACTTCTCAACTTATCAATACAGGGGGCTGGTATCATCACTGTGTCTACAGGTCACTAATGCATAAACTAAAATGTTACCCCAGGTGATTACTCGATATTTGCACATGTTTTCCCCTGTGTTTCTTGATCGTTTGAGCTTTAATTATCACATCTTTGGCCTATTTTACGCTAGGTTGTGTTCCTTTGTCATATTTCAGGTCCTAGAACATAAAGTGAAGCATAGGCGCAAGTTTCAAGTCAATCAGAGATCAATTGGCGATTCGGGAGCAGAAACTCGGGCATGACCTGAAGAAGAATGGATTTCTACCTCACTTTATGGACAAAGAATCATGCAGGCTTGTCATGAAAAGAAATAGGACGAGACTACGAGCGTCTGAGATCAAACGGCGACTGATTTGGAGTCCGGACGAGGGAGAAACGAAGCATTGAATATAGGGGAACAGGTTCGGCAGTAAAAATACGGGCGCGCCTAAATCAAAACACGGCCGTGCCCATATTTAGGCACGACCGTGTTTTGGCCAACGCGCCCGGGCGTGTTTTTAATACAGGGGCAAAACACGGGCGGGCAAAACCAAAGCACGGTCGTGCCCGCGACCGTGTTTTGCCCAGAATCGGGTTTTTTAACCCAAATTCGAGCCAAAGGAGAGAGAGAGCTGGGTTTTGGATCCCAAACACCCTAGGGACGAACCAAAGAGAGAGAGGGCGATTTGAGGGCATTCTTGGAGTGGAATTGGAGGATTTCTTCGCCTTGGAAGCTCGAGGAACAAGCCCGGACTTGAAGACTGATCATCTGAAGATTCTTACTGCAGTCTCTCTCTTCTCTATGGAGTAACTTCCCTTCACTTAGGTTTTGAGGAACCCTAGCCATGTTTGTTTGATTGGATGATTGTATGAGTACTCTGACTTGATAATCTTGAGTTCATATTCAATCTATGCATGTTTTCACGATTCAATTCTGCTTTAGTCGAGATTATTGATTCTGCTTTGATCCTATGAGAGCGAATACCTGATTAGGTCAATAGAGCACCATAGATTGATAGTAGTGGATCGATTGCTTTAGTCGAGGGTTGATTCACTGCTTTGTATCGATTGAGAACCTCATTCGATAGAGGGAGTCTAGTTCAGAACGCCTTGATCGATTGTTCTAGAGAAGGATACGTCCCTCTAGGCAATTGACTCAAGAGGGCCTTGTTCCTTTAGTCGAGACTCAAGGTCTAGTCAAGGATTCTCCGCATTGTGAATGAAGTGAAACAAGTTAGAAATCATCGATCGTTAATCTGGCTAGTGGCTAGGGGGAATCATACCTAAGCGAGTTCCCAACCTGTAATTAGATTAACTTTAATTGTAGTTTGCTAGAGTAGTTTTAGTTCTTTCATCTTAATCTGTTTTGCTAGATAATGAACTGAAGCTGAGTAATAGTAACTCTAGAGACCCGTGTATTCGATATTTATTACTTGAGCCACTATACTGCAGTCCCTTTCATTGGTTAAAAGCAATGCAAGAAGGAAAAGTAAGCGAGAGTGAACTTTACAAAGAAGCAGATGTGCAAAGATGCAGCAAGAGAGCAAACTTTGGTGCTATCAGGTTCCAATGACGAAGTTGTGTAAGGAAGGGGCAAATTCATCCAATCTTATTGGAGGGAACCAGTTGCAAAGTGGAACTCAGTTACATTACCTGGTCAGTTGTAGCCTGTAGGCGTGGCTTCGGTACACTTTCCTCGACCAACGCACAATCTCTAGTTCCCTCTGACAGCAAGCAACCAGTTCCACTATTCAACTGACCATAAAAACAAAGCAACCTTAGCTGAGGCAGAAGCTTCTGATGGCAAGCAGAGAGGCACTTGCACAATAAAACTTCAGCGTCAGAGGAACGATAATTCTGCATAAATGAGCAACAAAAGCAGCTGGGATGAACTAATAGTAAAATGAAAATTAGGAACTAAAAACAGTAAAACACCCAGATTCGTGCAAGTGAGCAATACCAATCAAAGAAAACCTGATTAGAGTAACTCAACCACAAACGAACCCGAAAATCTCTGAAACCCGTTTTTGTGTAAATAGAAAACACGAAAAAATGAACAAAGTTCAAAAAAATAAACACATACCCTATTTTCTACCAAGATCGTGGAGAAGGCCTGCGAACCAACTGATGCTAACTGTGCACCGGCGACCCATGAATCGAGAGATCCTTTGATCGTCTTGAGGGCATCGCTTCGTGAATGGGACTTCTCTCCTACGTGACCTCCATCATCGTTTAGGTCTTCTTCTTCGCAGAGGCCCCCGATGGCAAGCAGAGAGGTACCTGCACTCTGCCTAAATGAGCAAGAAAAGCAGCTGTGGTGAAATAATAGTAAGAAGAAGAATTAGGAACTAAAAACAGTAAACACCCATATTCGTAAGCAACACCAATCGAAGAAAACCTGATTAGAGTAAGTCAACCACAAACAAACCAGAAGAAAGGCTCTGAAACCCATTTTCGTGGAAATAGACAACACGAAAAAGGAAAAATTCAACAAAAAAAAGACATACCCTATTTTCTATCGAGACCGTGTAGAAGGCCTGCGAACCAACCGGTGCTAACTGGGCGCAGGCGATCCATGAACAGAGAGATCCTTCGCTCATCTTGAGGGCATCGTTGACTTCTCTCCTGCGTGACCTCCATCATCATTCGGGTCTTCTTCTTCTTCCGCCGCCGCCATGCCCAGAACAAAGTAGTAAAAGAAGAGGAGATGCTGGGGCAAAAAATCAGACAAGTGAGATTTGTTTGGATGAAAAAACAACAGATTTGATCATCATCCTCTCTTGTTCTTGTGATGTGAATGAATTTAAGAAAAGAAATAGAAAAATACAAAGAAAGCAGGGAGAAGTGATGGGGAAGTGACTCTCCCAAACACAAACCCAAAGCTAATTTTAAAAAAAGAAAAGCAAGTCAAGCGGGTAAGATTCGTTCCCAACCGATAAGTAGAGAAGCGGGTAAGATTCGTTTCCGGCTCAAAATTCGGCAACACGGAACCGGGTTGATTACACATGAATCTATATGTCAATTGTCGCGGAAATAATTTTAAGTTTTAAACACATAAATCTAGACCCGACCCAATTCGCTAATTACAAAAGCGGGTAAAATTCATTCCCGATTGGTAAGTAGAAAAGCGTGTAAGATTAGTTCACAATCCAAAATTTGGCAACACTGGTCCGGGTTGAATCTGTGTCAATTGTGACGAAAATTATTTTAAGTTTAAAACATATGAATCCAGACCCGACCCAATTCACTAAGTACATAAGCGGGTAAAATTCATTCCTGACCGGTAAGTAGAAAAGCGTGTAAGATTTGTTCACAATCCAAAATTCGGCAACACTGAACTGGGTTGAATACACATGAATTTGTGTCAATTGTCATGGAAATAATTTAAAGTTTAAAAACACATGAATCCACACCCGACCCAATTCGCTAATTACAAAAGCAGGTAAGATTCGTTCCCAACCCAAAAATCGACAACACCGGAATCGAATACCATTAGGTTGAACACAAATGAATTTGGGTTCAATTCTCATAATAATTCATATTTAAAACATTTGGTTAATAACTAAAAAAGTTTAACAATAAAATATTTATTGTTGGTGTGACTGCTTTTCTTCCCAAGCTTCTTTGTCACTTTTTCCTTCTTCAGCTGATAAAGGAAAGGAGGGTGGGTGGGATGAGAGAGATGATTGAGAAATGAGAAGATGATTAGAGTGGAAGAAGAAAACGTAACAAAACAAAAAAAATCTAAAAGGCCACTAATTTTTGTTTAATTACAGAATGGTCACCTTTTAAACCATTAAAGCTTTGGTTAATTACAAAAATAGTACCTAGTGTGATGTGACTCTACCAAAAGTAACATGTAGTTTGTTCTTTTAAAGAGATAATAACCCAAAATTTGTTAACACCGAGCTCAACTCGCTTTCGATTTATTTTGGCTGAATTTGAGTTAAATTATACCTTAATGACACAATTGTCAAGAAAATATTCGCTTTAACCGGGTTGAATTAGGTGGAATACCTATTGAACACATTGTTGAAAAATATATTCGTCAACACCGGGTTCGACTCGTTTTAACCGGGCCGAATTAGGTGGAATACCTATTGATTTGGGTTCCTCTACCCTAAATTCGTTAACACCGAGTTCAACGCGCTCTAACCGGGCCGAATTAGGTCGAATGGGCATTGGTAAGTGTACAAAATGGCGCTAAAACTCATTGTTGAAAAAAATCGTCAACATCGGGTTCAACTCGCTTTAATCGGGTCGAATTATTTGGAATACCTATTGATTTGGGTTCCTCGACCCAAAATTCGTTAACACCGAGTTCAACTCGCTCTAACCGGGTTGAATACCCATTGATAAGTGTGCAAAACCTGAAAAAATTTCAATATCGGGTTCAACCTGCTTTCAATTGTACCTTCATGGCACAAAACTCATTGTTGAAAAAAAAAGGCGTCAATATCGGGTTAACTTGCCTTAACCGGCTTGAAGTAGGTCGAAGTTAATTGATTTGGGTTCAACTTGGATTCAATTGTCATAAGTTAATTAATTAGTATCTTAATGTGAAACACTCATTCAAGCTTTGGTTAATTACAAAATGACAATCTCTTGTGACGGGACACTATTGCTATGCAATAGTAGGACACTGTCAAAAACCATTTGCAAGGCGGAGACCAAAAAAAGTAGTAAAACGACCGTAACCGTGATCGGTAAGCGGGGAAAAGAAAAAGTCATTGAGTTCAACTCACTATATATAGCGTGTAAAAGTCGTAGTAAAACTCGCTTACTCAGGTTCAACCCACTAATTGAAGAAAGTAAAACCCTTTGTCGGGCCAAAATTTGTAAAAAGTGAGCTCAACTCGCTTTACTTTGGTCGAATTAGGTCGAGTTCCCTTTGACTTGGGTTCAATTAGGACTCAATTGTAATAAGTTAATTGATTAGAACCCTAATAGCATCAAAGTAATTGATTAGAACCTTAATGGCATTAAATCCCTTCAAACCTTTGGTTAATTACAGAATGATCATGTTTGTGATGGGACACTATGCAATAGTGTTTTGTTACTTGTTCTTTTATAGATATAAATATAATAATAATAATAAATAATAATATCGCATGAACGGTTCCATCAACAACGATTAATCGTTAAACCATGCATAAACCACAAATTTTTTTCTTTTCGATTTAGCCGACTCATCTGGTTATGTGGAAACAGAGGTTGCAAGTTGGCAACTATATGATTGAGTATCTCTAGTGTGAAGGCAAGGTTAATAATATACCTAATACAAGAGTGAAGGGCGAAGAAACCCAAATCCATCAAGCCAACCAACCCATTCATGCAAGTAATTGCATATATACATATATGCAATTATACGTACCCATTTGCACATCTTCCATTCAAACCACCTTGATCGTGATCGGAGATGGCGATGAGTCAAAGAAGTACCGGTAGTACTTTCGCGGCGGACGAGGAGGAGGATTCAACCTCTACGGCCGGCAACGGCAGCAGCAGCGGCAATTCCCTCAGCCGCGACCCTTCCGTCCTCCGGCTCCGGTGACTCCTCCTCTGCCGTCGGAGGAAACGTTTCAATCCAAAGCGGTAACCGAGGAGCTTCATGATGATCATCACTCCCCTTCCTTCCTTCTCCGCCTCCTTCTCCCCGGTAATTAGTTTATCTAATTCCTCATCATTATTATTATTCTATATAGCAATTTATGTATGAGAAAATTGTTTGGAAAGAAAGTGGTGAAAGGAGCATACATGCAGATCTCTTCCAACAACGCGGGTTATATTGATATTTGAAATCAGTTGGTTTATGACATGGTATCATAGTTGGTTTGTTCTTTGATGTCACGTGTTCAAGTCTTCACGACCCCACACTATTTATCGTCATCTCAAAGCACACAATGGTATGGCTGGACATGTGCAAACTTCAAGCTAATGAGTTGGTTTTCGTTTGAGGTGGGCGTGTAAAGAAGTGGTTAAGTACCATGCATGGACATGTCATGACAACTCGGGTTATTGAGATCAGCTGGTTTATGACATTATTGATTTTTCGAACCATGGCGCAGGTTTCACGAGATTGGAGGATGTGAAGATTACAAACGGAACGAGTTCGGAGTCGAAGCATGTCGTTCGAGTTCAAGGGGAGCGATTCGACTCACAAGCAAACAAACGCTACCGTTTCGACACCACCTTTGTTGTCCCGTTGGAGTACGATATCTCGCCGCCGATGGATGCCAAGCTCGAGAGTGGTGGGATTCTCACCATCACCTTCCCCAAATTCTCCTCTTCTTCCTCTTGGAACTCATCCAACTCCCAGACTCAATCTCAGTCATCCTCCGACGAAGAATCGCCGCTACGTCCGTATAGTCCACCCAGAACAGACGATAAGCATGAAGGTGGAGGTAATAAGAGCGTTTCTGGCAAAAATGTGCCGGAGAAGGAGAAGGCGGCGGTTGATCAAGAGGGAGGGGAAATGACTACCCAGTACTCCCCTGCTTCTCATCAGGGTTTGTCCCCTGCATCCGACTTGATCAAGAGCACGCGTGACAGTCTTCTCAGAGATGAAACCATGGGACGAGGAAATGGCGGACACGACGGTGTCAAGGCAACGACGAAGGTGAATGCGGAGAACAAATTGGCGGACCACTTGTAGCGCAATAAAAGAGGAGAGAACAAAGGGGACAACGAGATTAAGAAAGAATCATCGCCAAGTGTAGGAGGAAGAGACGATGGTGATCATGGAGGTGGAAGTAAGAGTACCTCCGAACAGAAGGTGGCAGAGAAGGAGAAGGAGGTAGATCGAGAGAGAGGAGAAAGGGCGGGGCAAATGCAATTGGTGGCGAATATGGGAGCGGCGGTGGCCGTCATCGTTACGCTTGGAGCCTTCAATTATTATTTCACGTTCGCTTGAATGTGTTTATGTACCCAGTCTGATTGTTAAATGTCCTGTACTATATCTATTTATGACGCCTACTTCTGACAAAAAAAAAATTGTAACAAGGTTCTTAAAAAAATATAATAATATAAAAATAAAATTGATGAAAATGGTGTGCAATCACATCCCTTGTGCTTGTGGTTATCCAAGCCCATAGGGATGTAGGCCAAAGCCCAACCCCTCAAATTGCCGTTCTACATCGGACCTTGTAAACAGACCCGCACTTCCACTTCCAGTGTCGCAGTTTCATTTTACCCGCGACGCTACTGATTTGCGCTCCCCTAGAGCCCCGCCGGCGCCGGACGATCGAACAGTTCATCGTCGCTCGAAGATTGTTAGATTCGCCATAAAAACGTTGTACCGTTGATTGTTAGACTCAGAAGTCCCATCCATGCCTCTGCTTCGTCCGTCTTCTACTTCTAATTCGGGTGCCCTACTCTACTGACTTGATTGGTAGAATGCGGAGGAGTTCCATGCTGGGATGCTTGTTTGTGGGATGCGGCAGCCGGTTCTACAGCAGTCACCGCCTCCCACCGCTAAGCTCCAGGGAACCGTATTGCAGCTTGCTTTTCTTCCACCCCAACAATTCTACGCTATCGAGTAACTTCTGTTCCCTCCGTCGTTTCTCTAGCTACGCCGTCGAGCAATTCTCAGATGACGAGTACGAGTGCGACTTCGAGTCCCACAAGGTTTTCAGTTTTTTGCCTTCCTTTCGAGGGTTTCCATTTCTCCCCTCTTGTAGGTGTTTTGTGATTATAAGTTGAAATTTGATTCACTGGACACGGCCTAGTTGCACGGTTTCGATTGTGAAAGATGACTTGGTGGGATTTCTAATGAAACGTTGTTGGTGGATTATTGTGATGCCAGGCATCTTCTTCGGTGGCCAATATTGATGAGTGGAAATGGAAGATGAGCTTGCTGTTGCGCAGTGAGACTGACCAAGAGATTGTTTCCAAAGACAGGAAAGACAGGAGGGACTATGAGCAGATATCTAATCTTGCACAAAGGATGGGACTTTATAGGTAGAAATTTTGAATCTTATGTTAATGATTCCTTATATTTTCTTTCTTTAGCTTTTCCGGTACATTGTCTTCTTTTGAGAATCTACATTTTATGGGCCAGATTTAGATGATAAGCGGCCGCAAAGAGAGGTAACATAGTCAAACCCTTGAATCTGCTTCATGTCTATTCTTCTGTGGAAGAAAATGATTAGTGTTCTTCTGATTTTATCGACTGGCTAGCTAACCACGTATGATCACAGCATTGAAGCTAGTAGCCTCGGTTTAGCTGCTAATTTAGTGTTGCATGTTTCCTGTACACTTGACTCGGGGATTATAATCATGTTGCCGTTATACAGGTGGTTGTTCCTCTAAGCTTGCAGAGGAGGGTGGAGAGTCTGCTTCAGGAACATCTTGACAGAACTCAACTGATATCTGGAAGAGCTGATGGCACAACAGATGGCGGTAATCCTGCTGATCGTGTCGAGAGTCAGAGTCAAATGGAGAATCCAGATTCTTTCCTTGATGACTCTGTTATGGAGAAAGTTCTTCAAAGGAGGAGTTTACGATTGCGTAACATGCAGAGAGCTTGGCAGGTATGTAGTTTTCTCTCATCCTGATTTCATCTGGAAAAGGCCCTTAGAATTCATCTGTATAGTAAGCTTCCTGCTAACTATATCGGGAAAACTTGTTCCCTTCTATTATTAGAGGATTTTTCTTACGGAGCAGTAGACAACCTGAGGTGTCAACTGTCAAGGGCTGTTTGACATTATTGTTTCGATCGTTCTCCTGATTTAATCGATCACATTGATTGGATTAATTTTGGAGGTCTGTCGTCTTTGATGTTCTTTTAGCTACTACCATGCAAAAGTGTAATTTAGTATATCTCTCTCAAGTCCTAGGACCCATTTCAAGTGATCCACGTCATTAAACTATTAGACAATCTTTCTCGCCTCTTGTCCATGGTAGCCCAAGAGTTGTTATGTAAATGTTTTTATCACCTAATTGACTTACAGGAATCACCTGAAGGCAAGAGGATGATGGAGTTTCGAAAGTCCTTACCTTCATTCAAGGAAAAGGAAAGGCTGCTTCAAGCTATAGCAAGGAATCAGGTTTGCGGATGGATCTCATGGCCTTAACTTTAGCTAACATGGGTATAAAGGTCACTTTGTGAATGATAGTTGTATAATGATGCAATCTGCGATTGTAGATATGGCATAAAACAGTTGAATGTTTATATGAAAAAGTCAGTTGGATGTTGAAAGGGTGTTTGGTATGATGGAAATTGGTGTGGAAACCAGAGATTTTGATGGTTTTACCAAATTTGTTGTTCGTAATGATTAAAAGCGAGCTTGACCAAAGGTAAATGTCTAAGAGGGGTTGTCTTGAACCCGTGTTTTGTAGAATGTGTATATTTTTAAATATCTGTGTATTTGAAATAAGGGGATTCAATGAAGTGGTTTATTGTCCCTAATTAGGTGTAAGCGAGTTTAAAATTTATGCGGGATTTAGGATCCGTGATTCTTGGAGCATCACAGAGATTGAAATCACATAAACTGTACACCTTTTTTACGTTTAGGTGGACAAGTACCTTATCTTTGGTTTACCATGTTATGGTCACAGGTTGTAGTAATATCAGGCGAAACTGGATGTGGAAAAATCACTCAGCTTCCCCAATATATATTGGAGTCTGAAATAGAATCTGGGCGTGGAGCATTTTGTAACATAATTTGCACACAGCCTCGGAGAATATCAGCTATGGCTGTTTCAGATAGAGTATCAGCTGAGAGAGGAGAGCCTCTTGGTGAATCAGTGAGTATGTTTGCTCCAGTTAACAGGCTTGTGCCATTGGCATCTGCGGTCTTTGTCTGGAAAGTAGTATCTTCCCTTTGTTTTGAAACTTGTCAATTTTGGTGCTATACCACAACAGATATTTTCTGGTAGGTTGGTTACAAAGTTTGACTGGAGGGTATGAAAGGGAAAAACACCCATCTGCTGTTCTGTACAAGTGGAATTTTACTTCGGAGGCTGCTAAGTGACCGCAACTTGAATGGTGTGACTCATGTTTTTGTCGATGAAATTCATGAACGGGGCATGAATGAAGGCAAGTCTCATTTTCCTTCCTTTTGTTATAGTATTAAATAAAGGAATATTGTACCAAACGTGAGTTTAGGAGATTTGGGTGTTTAATGACCTAATTTTGTTAAATTGTTGTGCATTGGTTTTTATCTGCAACAGACTTTCTACTGATCGTGCTCAAGGACCTACTTCCTCGACGTCGCGAATTACGATTGATTTTAATGAGTGCCACTTTGAACGCTGAACTCTTATCGGCTTACTATGGAGGAGCACCTACAATTCATATACCGGTAATGTGTTTCTGTTATTACCTGAACACTGTTGATTCTTTTGGGATTCAGGAAGTGGATGCAATGTGAATGTTTTGCTTCCCTATAACGCCTGAGTTCGCAACAAGTCAGATAGCTTTTTAGGTTAGTGTTATGTACTTGAAGTATTAGAGCTTGTATTGAGGTAGTGGAAAAGGTCTTATTGTTTGTTGGTGGGCGTTATTGTTGTACTTCTGAATGTCGTCATCTGGATCATAATGGGATGACTAACCTGCTCGTGGTTTTTGTTCTAGGGCTTTACCCATCCAGTCAGGGCACACTTCTTAGAAGATGTGCTGGACATTACAGGATATAAGCTGACTTCCTTTAATCAAATTGATGATTATGGACAAGATAAATTGTGGAAAACTCAGAAGCAGCTGACTCCAAGGAAAAGGAAGAATCAGATCACTACACTTGTTGAGGTACACACTTCATTAGGGGGGAAATAATCAGCTGATTTTGACTAAGTGAAATTTTTTAGAATCTATCTTATTGATTGGTTATTTAAAAAAAAAATTATATTATTTCAAAATATCTTCTTGATTGGTGACATTGGATCACTTTGCCGACCTTTAAGGAGTGTAGAAATGGGATTGAGAATCTGTTTTATTCTAAGTTGCAAAATCTGTATACTCGTGTTTCAAGAAATTCTTTGATCATTCTTCTTGCCTTTACATATGTCCAGCTGTGAAAATACTGATTATTTTGTTCAGTTTAAGCAAAATCCATATGTACACAGCATGCTGTACCCTTAATCTTTCAATTAAGTTTTTCATTTTTATTCTTTGCAGGATGCTCTTAATAAAACAAGTTTTGAGACTTATAGCTCCAGGGTCCGTGATTCTTTGTCAAACTGGATGCCTGATTGCATAGGCTTTAATCTTATTGAGGCCGCTCTTTGCCATATATGTCGGAAGGAGCGGCCAGGGGCTGTACTAGTATTCATGACTGGGTGGGAGGACATTACCTCTTTGAAGGATCAGCTTAAATCTCATCCACTTTTAGGTGATCCCAACAGGATTCTGCTCCTTACTTGCCATGGTTCTATGGCAACATCTGAACAGGTAATGGTTTTCTTATTCAATCTGATAAATAATTATCTTGTAAGCTCCAGGTGCTCATCTTTCTTACTGCTTGGAACTTGGAAGTGTATGTTTACAAGGGGAATCTGTACGGCCAATTATCTGTGTTCATGTGACCCTGCATTGCAAATAGTTGGAGCTGGTTCTCTCTCTTTTGAGTGTCATTTAATTTCCCTGCTTCTTTAAGTTTCAAGCTATAATTTATGTCTGTTTCATTTCATAAAAGTTAGTTCATCTCATTAAATAACTAGAAAGATATTTCCATCCAATAAACTACTTTTTTCTCACTAAAAATGTATATTTATCTACTTTAAAAAAAATGGTTAAGCACTATTCTCGTTATTTTTCTAAACTTATTTTTGTGTCTTAAAATTTTAGACGAGGAAAAACAAATACAGATACTATACGTGTACTGATTTGGTTTCTCATGTTCACCTTTCTGCTGACCTTTTTCTGCAGAAACTCATATTTGAGAGGCCGCCACCTAATATTCGTAAAATTGTACTAGCTACAAACATGGCTGAGGCAAGTATTACCATTAATGACGTAGTTTTTGTGGTTGATTGCGGAAAAGCAAAAGAAACCACCTATGATGCCTTGAACAATACACCTTGTTTGCTGCCTTCGTGGATATCACAAGCATCTGCCCGACAAGTATGTTTCTTCACATCAATTTTTTCTTTATTCATTTTGTCCAGGTATAGGGTTGATGCTATTTATTGTTCATCTTGCAGGCTATATTGATCTGTTGTTTGGTAGTATTGTCTTGGTAAAATTTCTAATAATTTTTCACCCTGATCCATATAGAAATCTAATGCACGCATAACATGATTATTCTGTGTTACAGAGAAGGGGCAGGGCTGGCCGCGTCCAGCCAGGTGAATGTTACCACCTATACCCTAAATGTGTTTACGAGGCTTTTGCTGAATATCAACTCCCCGAGCTTCTTCGGACTCCATTGAACTCTCTGTGTTTGCAAATAAAAAGTTTGCAAGTTGAAAGTATAGCAGAATTCTTATCAGCTGCACTCCAGCCACCAGAATCGTTGGCTGTAAGTTCTGTGTTGAAAAGTTTACTGAGGTTCATGAGCTGTGAATATGAACATATCTCTCTCTCTTGGATATGCAAATGTATTTAGAGGTTGTTGGGTTGGGCTTATTTCGGTTGCAATAGCTTACATATGCAGACTATTTTCTGAATACTTTTTATACATCATGAATGTAGTGTTTCAAATAGAAAAAACTAATCTCAACTCACTAAAGTGATGCAAGCTTACATACATGGTGGTAAACACATGTGCTACGGAGAAGAGGTCCCACATTTCCTTTTCTTCCTTTACCTTTTTCAAATAGTTCCTCATAAAATGCATGGGACTGGATAATGTTGCCATAAATCCGTCACACTTAATAAAACTAAAAACAAACAGCATTCGATTGGAACAAGTAGAGTTTCAAATATTCAGAACAAGCACAACTTCAAGTTATTTAGTTAGTCAGTAAGCGTGAGGAAAAGCTATAAGTTTGTTTATGCGGATATATATTGTAGTAGTAACATCTGCGAATTTAGGTGCTTATATTGTTACAGCTTTGCATTCTTCCTGGTTTTCCGTTTTGTTGTTTCCTTGGCTCTTTAGTGCCACAGTTTTTTCTCCTTGGCTCCAGTTGCAAACTGATGCTGTATCCTCCATCACAGGTGTTCAATGCCATTGGCTTTCTGAAAATGATTGGGGCACTCGACGAAAAAGAAAACTTGACAAATCTTGGTTAGTTGCTGACTCACTTTAGCTAGCAGTTAATTCTTACTTCTGGCAATTAAAATCTCCTTTCTTATTTGCCCATTGTCAATCAGGAAAATTTTTATCGATCCTTCCAGTAGATCCTAAGCTGGGGAAAATGCTTATAATGGGTGCAATCTTCCGCTGCTTTGACCCAGTACTAACTATTGTATCTGGACTTAGCGTGAGGGATCCATTCCTCTTGCCTCAAGACAAAAAGGAAGTAAGTACTGGGATGTTCTTGTATTTCAGGAGGTTTCTTGGGACATTATTTGAACTATGGAGAAATTCCAGTTCAGTTTATATCTCAGTTTCAGTGCATGTGAGGAAGCAATCTTGGATGAATTTGTTCGAGTTTCATTCAAGTTTTGGTATCCGATTATTGATTCGTGACAATAACCAGATGACTGCATTATTGCCATGTCCATAGGCTGTATCTCTCAGTAATGTCACACATGTTCTGTTTTTCCTGTGCAACTAAGTTTCAGATAGCCTATTGCTGATTCTCCCACACTTTGCATATAGTTGTCTGACTGGAAGTTCCATTCAAGTTTGATCGAGTTTCATTCAAATTTTGGTATCCGATTATTGATTCGTGAGAATAACCAGATGACTGCATTATTGCCATGTCCATAGGCTGTATCTCTCAGTAATGTCACACATGTTCTGTTTTTCCTGTGCAACTAAGTTTCAGATAGCCTATTGCTGATTCTCCCACACTTTGCATATAGTTGTCTGACTGGAAGTTCCGTTCAGTATGATAAATACCTCCCTAATTATGCATTATTCTTTTATAGTTAGCAGGGACAGCAAAGTCTAGATTCTCAGCGAAAGACTACAGCGATCACATGGCTCTTGTCCGTGCTTATGAGGGGTGGAAAGATGCTGAAAGAGAAGGATCAGCATATGAATATTGCTGGAGAAACTTTCTGTCTGCACAAACCATGCAAGCCATTCATTCCCTGCGTAAGCAGTTCAGCTTCATCCTGAAGGATGCTGGTCTCACAGATGGAGACATGAGTTCTAATAACAAATTAAGTCACAGTCAGTCATTGGTTCGAGCAATAATATGTGCTGGCTTGTATCCTGGCATAGCCTCAGTTGTGGTAATTATGCTTACACGTGTGCTGAATGACCTGCTGTCTTTTCGCCACTGAGTTCTTTTGTTTCAGTTAGTTCTTAATATACATTTGCTCTCTTTTGTAATGTGTAGCACAGAGAAACAACAATGTCTTTTAAGACAATGGATGATGGCCAAGTCCTACTATATGCGGTAAGCATCGCACATCTTTGATTCCAATTGCTTGGCGTTTCAGTTCTGGTAACTTCAGATTTCTAACATCAACTGGTTCTTTGTAATAAATGGGTTCAGAATTCTGTCAATGCTCGCTACCAGACTATTCCTTATCCATGGCTTGTCTTTAGCGAAAAAGTAAAAGTCAATGCCGTTTTCATACGTGATTCAACTGGTGTCTCAGATTCTATGTTGATCCTTTTCGGTGGCACTCTTCATCGTGGGGTACAGGTAATTTTACTCTACCCACAGATATACATAGTCATAGTCTTTTTGTCCTAAAAATTTGCTATAGTAATCTGAGTGTTGCTGCTGCACATAGGGAGGACACCTGAAAATGTTGGATGGCTACATCGATCTGTTCATGGATCCTAGTTTGGCAGACTGCTATCTGAATCTCAAGGAAGAACTGGATAAGGTTATTCAAAAGAAGGTTGGTAAATAGAGATGTTTAATCTGTAGGGTTAAATTTATTGGCATGTCAGCCGTTTATCGGAGGCAATCTGCCTTGTATGGTGATATCATTGGCCTTTGCTTTTGGCAGCTTGAAGATCCAAACATTGACCTTTACAAAGAAGGCAAGTATCTTATGCTTGCTGTCCAAGAAATCGTATCAGGAGATCAATGCGAAGGGAGATTTGTATTCGGTCGAGAAAGCAAACGACCAAAAGAATCAAGCGATGACAGCAGATTCACAAAAGACGGCTCGAACCCAAAGAGCTTGCTACAAACTCTCCTGATGAGAGCTGGGCATTCCCCTCCCAAATACAAGACGAAGCATCTGAAGACGAATGAGTTCAGAGCACTGGTGGAGTTCAAAGGAATGCAATTTGTAGGGAAACCAAGGAGAAACAAGCAGCTAGCAGAGAGGGATGCAGCCATTGAGGCACTTGCCTGGTTGACTCACACATCCACTGATACCAACCAAAATGAGGAAGACGGGGATGATAACAGCTCCCGACCTGATGTCACCGACAACATGCTCAAACTACTCGGGAAACGCAGAAGATCAAAGCGTCGACCTGGTTGAATGATTGAGTAGGGTTCTTGTAGAGTGGGCTTTCTTGCAGGTTTTCTCCACCAAGTCCGTGAATCAGGTAAACATGTAACTTCATCACCTTCTATGTTGTAAAATTCTTCAAACAACTTGTTACTCGACAATAATTAAGCCAGCATCTATAGAGAGAGGAATTGGGTCAAGGCATCTAGTAGAAGAGTCGATTTTAGAGGAGAGGTATACTAGTATAGTGAAATAACTAGGGTTTTGTTGCCAGTTATTTTGTGAAGATTGGGATGGCCCAATTAATGAGCAGAAGGCCATTGTACAGAACTAGAGAGCTTGCTGTCATTTTATGTATCCATCAATTCATCTGATCAGGTGGTGTGCCTTGATGCTGATTTTGAGGATCGGGACATATTTAGGCTGTGATTTTATCTGTACTTTCTCTTGCTATTTTCTGTATTGTTCCCAGGCACAACAGTTTATAGTACATGGCTCATTAATGTATGGTAGGGTTTCCGCAGTGCAATCTGGTACATTGATGTTTTCAATCTTTATTCATTTCTTGGACGAAATGGAACCTTCAAAATTAAAAGGAAAGAAAGGTACGATTTCATGGAAATGATTTTGTATCTTAGGTTGAGATGTTACAAGTGATATGGATCCTCTTCGGGTTCCTCTTGGATGATGGTGGGGCAAACTTCTCTTGGGTGATGATGGGGCAAACTTTAACGAGGATTTTGAGTCTCAAAGAGGGGGTGTATGTAAGTGTGAAAAGGAACATTCAACCTTTGCGCATAAGTGTGAAAATATAGTGCGAGTTTTGTAACACCTTTGACAAATTTCACATTGACAAATCACGCGTGAGTTCTATGATTTATCAGGAATATACAATCTTAATTGACAAAATGCGGTTTTGGATGAAATAGAAAGAGCTCGTAAGAACTTAGAAAGGTAAGCGTACTCGTTGTAAATGTAGAGATGTGTGATATATCATAAGTCACTATCATGTTATCCCAAAAAGCAAATTCGAGCAGAAATAAGCCCAAAATGCACAACATTTTTGTAAAATTGTTGGCGATGTTACAAATAAGTGAGTAGCATATGTTTTTTTGGGGTTTCTAAAGGGTCGTTTGGAAGTTGTGATGGTTAAAATGATGTATTGTTGTGTATGCAAGTATAATATTATACATGTATTGTCTAATTTGATGCATTGTAGAATACAACGTTTGGTATATGTGATTGTGTATGTCACATCAGCTAAAAGCCGAGACAACAATTTCAACTCAACAATCACAACTAAAAGTTGAGATATAACAATCACTCATTTTGAGTGATTGTTTTTGGCACATCACATAAAAAATTCATGTATTATTTCTGTTAAAAAGGTAAAAAAACGATACATTCTAAACATTACATGTAAAGTAACAATCTCAACAAAACAAAAACAAATTCAAACTACCCCTAAACAAGAAAACTGGATAATTTTGGTCCAAGTCTACGGGGGATGATTTAGCCAAAACAGAAACGACTGCAGAATCCGGATGCAAATTTCACTACCGTTATTATTTTACATTTATTTTTGTCTTCTTTATGCAACCTTTTTCCCGAAAATATAAGAAAGGAATTATATATAAAAAAAAGAAATATGGGGGAAAAAAATATAGAAAACCTAGTTCGTTTCTCAAATTGCGGAGCTTCGCCATTTATTGCTCAGCCACACTCTTTCGCCACGAACGAACACTTTCCCCATCCTCCCTGGCTCCCCGCCTTCTCCGGCCGTTGCCCACCCATCCTCCACTCCCCGGCGGCGACGTCGCCATCACCGCGGCAGCCGCCTTTCCGAACCCAAGCCAGCCGCTGGCATCTTTCATCTTTTCCGCCAGCCAATTCGGCTTCGTCTCGCTGGAATTTCGCCCCTGCCAGGCTGCCACAGCTCTCTCCCCCATCGCCCTGGAAAGTCGTCTCACTCACGCATTCGCATCCTTACTCGAATTCACTCCCATCCCATTTCCTCGTTCTCGCCCGTGTATTCTCTACTGCGTCCGCCGCCCCAGGAGTAGTCAAAGTCTAGTCCGACGTCACTGCCGTCTTTCAATGTCGGAGATTTGAGGTACCGAAACTCATTCCCCTCCTCGCCGGTTGCCAGTAGTCATCGGCCGCCGGAGAAAATCGGGTGGAAATTAAGCAGCTTTTGTTCGTTTCTTAAGGAGTTCGCATTGATTGAACATGATTATTGCGATTTAGATGTGTCACTAAGGTCTCTGAATGCCACGATCCAGCTGATGCCGTCTGTAACTTTTGTGGGCGAGTGTCCGTTTTACGTTTTTATGTTTTGGGAAAGCTGTTGGAAAGTCGGCACTGGAAATGGTTTTGACAGTCGTTCTTCATTTACTGATGGGGCATAATGCTAGATGCTAAGCTTACTGTTTCACCCTGTTTCGATAAAAGGGCCGGTCTTGTTTCTGTCCGTGGTCATCTCCGGGTTGGGTGATGAAGCCTGACCCCATTTTTTTGTGTAGGTCTTGTTTGGATGATTGGAAAACTTACCCTGCCGCTCAACTTGTTACTAAAATGAGACCAAGATCAAATGGGGTTTCTAGGAATCAGAGGGAGCATAGCTTTGAGGTTGGAGGACCAAATTGGATTCTCATTCCTGGTGGTGCCTTGTTGAGTACTTTGACAATCCGCCTTGGCTCCAAGCTGAAGCAGACCCTTGATTCTAGGAGGGAAACACGTGCTAGTAATGCTATAAGTTGTTCTTGTTTATGCATATCCATATATGATAATTTTTGTCCTTTGCTGTGAACGCTTAACCTTTTAAGTTTCTGCAATTCAGGAAATGAGAAATTGTGTGACAGAAGGAGATCGCCAGATTGCCATATGCATCCGAATATGTACTCCTATACACATGACGATGATATCTGCTTCAATTCTGCTTCCGGTACAAAGAGCTTTATTTCATTTTTCATTTTATTGTATCTGGACTCTGAATGAATTATGAGGAAGTAACCCAAATCATTTGTTGCTGCTGCTCATCAAATGATTTGCTACTGTACTCATGATATATATCTTTGAGGAATATTCCGAAACGCCTTCCTTTTTCTATTTTGTGGATCGCTGCTATGTACTCTAGCCCGTGTGCTTATTTCAAATATTTTCATTCAGCCTTTGTCTTGTGATTTGTGTTCGAGGCAGGGAATGAAGGCATCGAAGAAGTAAAATATCCTCCTAATGATCACTCGCTGTCTGAAACTGATGGTGCACTCCCTTTGGTCACAGTCAATGCACCAGAATACTCAAGAGAGAATGGCATTATGTGGGTTTCATCTCTTGATCGTCTCGAGTTACAGCCAAAGCCATTTCACCATTCAAACTGCTCTGACTCGCCATGTGTCTGAGTCTGGTTCAGACATATTTAGCAAGCGTGAAGTGATACAAAAACTGAGACAACAACTAAAAAGAAGGGACGACATGATAATTGAGATGCAGGACCAGATCATGGAGTTGCAGAATTCAATAAATTCTCAAATGGCAATTTCTACTAGTTTGCAGTCTCAACTTGATGCTGCTAACAAGGATCTGTTAGATTCGGAGAGAGAAATCCAAAGGTTGAGAAAGGCCATTGCCGATCACTGTTTAAAACATGCAAACGGTGATGGGAAACCGTCAGTTGTTGCTGCATGGCCACCTGAGGTAAGAAATGGGCATGGAAATGGGTATTCGGATGCTGAAAGCACCTATGACTTTCCAGAAAAAGGCAGGATTGATGGGGAGAAGGTCGAGATGCTTAAGAGGGAAGTAGGAGAATTGAAAGAAGTGTTAGAAGGGAAGGAATACTTGCTGCAGAACTACAAGGAGCAGAAATCGGAGCTTTCGGTGAAGATCAAGGAGTTGCAGCAAAGACTGGATTCCCAGCTCCCTAATATTCTATAGGGGCGTTGTTAGGCCATGTGAATTCTTGCTTTCCCCCCGACTTTGATTGTCACTTCCGGTTTTTGGAGATTGTTCTTTATCCAAGATTTTAGGTTAGAAATCTAGTGTTTTCTGTGCTCGCATAAAGTGTGCCAGTTGCGGATGTGATTAGCGAGAGGCAAAGCAAGGGTTTGTAATTGTCCGTTTTGCTTGTCAATGTCTCTGTTCACTTTTATAGAAATATGAATGCAATTTTCCACGAAGCGTGAACCCTGTTGCATTTTTGGCTTCTTTGTTTACCTGTTTACACTGTTGTCAATCATAGAAATAAGTTCCTTACATCTTTGTATGCCAGAGTAACTTGTTTCGGCTCGTCTTCGGATAAATTTTAATCACAAGTCACAACGGATTTCACTATCAACAGATGTGCTCTTTATCATGGGCAATTGGGCATCTTTGACGATTGTTTATCCGACTTTAAATTTCTATTATTTTACTTCAGGCTATCTTGCACAGACGTTTCCAGGCACCTGTGCTTTGATTTTAAATCAAAGATGACAGGTCTGTTTGCCTATCTTGTCTTCAATCCTCTATGGCTTATAATTTATTCCTCCAATTTTCTTCTGTTGTCATTAAATTGTTGAAAATTTTGGTACATGGTTTAAATTGTATGCAGTGCAGTATACTTCTAGTATGCAACAACAATTTTGGGAGGACGAAGAATGACTGTCAAAGGGAGTATCAAATGCTGAGAGACTGAACTGGAATGGAAGTCGGATAATCTTCATTGATACGAGGGGTTAATCAATTAGCTTCAGTTGGCTTAGCCATGCCATGAGGGTGAATTACACAAGGTATGCTTAAGAAAACACTCAAATGGCTTCTCTATTGCACATGCACACTACTCATTTTTTTAGTTATGTTACTTGTGATATTATCCACTGATTAGATGTGCTTGGGTGTTGGGAAGATCATAAGATAGATAGAACTATTTTCTTTCACTGGTACAACTTTATGGAGAAGATACGTTGGTATTGGTTATTCTTTGCGTAATGGGTTCTTTGAATAGTCAAGTAATGTTGTAGGTTTCCCCAATATGCGAGGGAAAAAAGGTAACAGCCAAGAGTTAGTTTCATTCATTCTGTTTTCTCTATTTTTATCTTTACTTTTTCTCTTTTGGAGAAGGAGCCCATTTGGTTCGGACCCTTTGGCTAATGTGGTGCAAAGTGAAAGGCTTGGTTAATCGTAGACACTGGCAGTTTCATCAGTTTGTTTTCTTTTTCTCGGAAGTCCTTTATCAGTCAGTTCCTTCTGTTGCTTTTTCTTTATCCTCAAAATTTTTTTCCTTTACTTCTTCCTTTTTACCTTTTTTGTTGTTGTTGTTGTTTGAGTTTCATTCCATCATTTCGTTCAAGTGTGGAGTATGGCTGGCTTCATAGTTGATACATAACAGAAGCATTTGTACAAATATTAAAGTCTGCAGAGAAGAGATACAGCGTACGATGTTGTATATCGATTCCAAGATTTGTGGAAATGAAATATGCTATTTGATGGGACTATTGGATCCTTAAATAAGATAGTATGTATTTGATCACAATATTATAGCACAGATTAATAGATTGATTATGATCTGTAAGTTCAACTATCAGTCAGGAGTAGTCCTCATTTCCTTGCCAATTCTATTTGAAGCTAGTAGAATGCTCCCCTTGCTTAGTCCGATGTTTGAGGATCTACTCCAGTCAAAATAGCACTATCGTATTTAGTTGCATGTCTAATTTTCTTTTCGTTCAAATGGAAGTCAGCCAAAAATAGCTACGTGCAAAGTTTCTTAACCCTTTTATCTTGCATTCTATTTTAAGCATTGTCTTGCCTACATAAATCCATCTCTGGGATCCTGCAAAACAATCAATTAAACCTTTTGGGTTTTGAGGATAACATTGGAGATGGTGAATGCTATGAGACTGTGCACCTTGGGTCTTTTCCTTTTGTCGTGCTGGACACGTGAGGCAGGCAGCAAGGTTTCCAAGGCAGTGGATGTTAATATGAAATGCAAAGATCCTAAATTGCCTGTCGAAGATAGAATTACTGATCTATTGAGTCGAATGACTCTTGAAGAAAAGGTCGGCCAGATGACACAGATTGAGGTACCAGTTGCCACTCCTGAGATCATGGAGAAGTACTTCATTGGTACGTTTCTATGTATATGCATGTGCCACCACCACGAATTTTTCCTATTCTTAGTTACTCTTCTTATATGGCAAATGATAAATATTGATAATGCAGGGAGCTTGTTGACTGGTGGAGGAACTCAGCCTGTTAAAGATGCGTCTGCAAAGGACTGGGTGGACATGATCAATAAGTTTCAGAAAGGATCTCTGAAACTCGACTTGGGATACCTATGATTTATGGGATCGATGCCGTTCATGGCCACAACAATGTTATTAATGCCACCATTTTCCCTCATAATGTCAATCTTGGTGTTACCAGGCAAGTGAAATGATCTCCTAACTGCACAAACGTGGTTTTGGTGGCTCATAATTATCATTTATCAGGAATATCTTTCACAGTATCTGCATTTGTTGTTGTTGCTAGGGATCCTGCTCTTGTCAAGAAGATTGGCGAGGCAACTGCTGTGGAAGTTAGAGCTACAGGAATCCCCTATGCTTTTGCTCCATGCATTGCGGTATAAAAAAAGATACTTGGCAGTTTCTTGCTGTCTACTGCCAATTTTTTTTTTCCTTGTTATCAGATTGTTTAGAATTATAACTTTTCCTTTGGGCGAGTGCAGGTTTGTAGAGATCCGAGATGGGGAAGATGTTACGAGAGCTACAGTGAAGACCACAAGATCGTTGAAGAGATGACTGATATAGTTAATGGCTTACAAGGGGACTTCCCACCCAATTATCCAAAGGACTACCCGTTTATTGGAGGAAAGTAAGAACTCTCTTTATCAGTAGCAATCCCTAGACTTGTGCGAAAAGCCATGCTTGATTTTATCCTTGTTCAATCCATGCAATTTTTTTGAATAATACGCAGGGATAAGGTAGCAGGTTGTGCCAAACATTATATTGGTGATGGATGCACGGTTAAGGGCATCAATGAAAACAACACCATCATCGACATGAAAGATTTGATGTCCATGCTCATGCCGGCTTACGATCTGTCGGTCCAGAAAGGTGTTGCCACAGTTATGATATCTTATTCAAGCATCAACGGGGTAAAGATGCACGCCAATAAAAAGCTGATCGACCTTCTCAAGGAGAAGTTCAAGGTACATAATCCAACAGCAATTACTATGACATTCTGTTATGGAGTTTCGTCGTCAATTAATGGGTGCAGCGATTAATGGGTTGCAGGGTTTTGCGATCTCTGATTGGCAAGGAATTGACCGGATCACTTATCCACCTGATGCCAATTACACGTACTCCGTTCAGGACTCCATTTTAGCTGGCCTTGACATGGTAATCAGTTACTATGCTAATTGCCCAAATTGCACTGGCGGAGTAGTAAGCATATCCAACAGCTTAATGTTCTTTTATCTTTTTTTTTTTTTTTTTGCTTTTGTCTACCTTCTCCAGATCATGGTTCCTGACAACTACACAGATTTCATTGGGAACCTGACAAAATTGGTTAATGATAAAGTCATTCCAATGAGCCGCATTGACGATGCTGTGACCAGAATCCTGAGGGTCAAATTCTTGACAAGCCTCTTTGAGAACCCAAATCCAGACTACAGTATGGTGGATATGATTGGGACAAAGGTGAGAGTAGCGGATTTTATTCTTTGTCTCCCTTACATTTCTCGTAATCGAGTCTGCCCACTAACCATCATTCTAACATGTTTGCCTGAACTGAAATTTTCTAATTTAGGAGCATAGAGAACTGGCCAGAGAAGCTGTGAGGAAATCTCTTGTGCTCTTGAAAAATGGCAAGACGGAGAGTGAACCCATCTTGCCCCTGCCTAAGAAGAACAAAAAGATCATTGTTTTGGGATCCCATGCTGACAACTTGGGATATCAATGCGGCGGCTGGACTGTTGAATGGCAGGGATACTCTGGCAATGACAGGACTTCAGGTGATGCATTCACCACTCTCTGCTCTTACTTATTTGCAGACTTAACATCCAGCCGCCTAGTGCAAGACAGAGACAAAGATGGAAACGGAAATTCTAACAACTATAACAAACATTGTCTGTCTGCAGGAACTACCATTCTGAAAGCGATTACCAACATGGTGGATCCAAGCACACAAATCCAGTTCAGTGAGAAAGCCGACCCTGAGTTCCTCAAGGCCAACAAAGACGCAGACTTTGCAATCGTGATGGTGGGGGAGAAGCCATACGCAGAGACCAAAGGCGACAACCTGAACCTGACCATCCCTCATCCGAGCCAGGAGGTCATCAAGAAGTCGTGCGCCAGTGGGATCAAATGCGTCGTGATCCTCATCTCGGGCCGCCCCCTCGTTGTAGAGCCGTTCCTGCCAGCGATGGATGCATTTGTGGCAGCTTTCCTTCCTGGCTCTGAAGGCCAAGGAGTTGCTGATCTGCTGTTTGGCGACTTTGGCTTCACTGGGAAGTTGGCAAGGACTTGGTTCAAGCGGGTTGATCAGCTCCCCATGAACTTTGGGGACAAGAACTACGACCCTTTGTTCCCCTTCGGATTTGGCCTTGAGACCAAGAAGGGCGATGGACAGGGCGAGTTGTGATAAATTTTTTGGTACTAACAGGATTAGATAGAACTCAATTGCTATGTACCCTTTTTTTTCTGGAGGGACTGGATTTATAAAGAGCCATTAGGCTCTGCAATAGTTTATTGGGATAAACTATTATTGATATTAAACACATGAGTTGAATTTATTTTAATCATAATTTTCTATCATTCATGTAAATCTTTTTTTCTTTCACTGTAATGTAATAGTAATCTACTTATTCATCCATTTAGAACAAATTTTAACTATGTTAGAATGGTTCTCTATATGGGAAAATGAAACATAGTTTGGGCTAAAATTCCTATTCCTCTTAGGCTAAGACTCTGAAATTAGTCACCTAAGTCACTTTACAACAATCCTTGTCTATCAAGGATTCCAAGTCCTACAAAGAAAATGACACATCTTTGGAATTCTTAGCGTGCTTCCTAGATTGTGTTCTCTTCACAATACCCAAATTGCTCTTATTAACTTACCAATGACCATTAGTACCCTAGACAATAAGTGACCAAAAAAGTGGAATCCTACCTATATGGAGTTTGTTACGCAATGCTGTCAAAATCATGTTTTAAAGCTTAAAAGCGGTTACACTTTTACGCTTATAGGTCACTAAACGTTCTGACGGACTCAGGATTTTCCTAGCTAAAGTAGTCCAAATCGTGCCCTAACTTTTAAAAGCTTACGATTTTACGCTTCTAGGTAGAATTACACTTTTTTACTGCATGCTTCAGCCACGTCAGCTCTAATTGAGTACCGTTACATAAACCATGGTACAGCTAAGAAAGGCGTTAGAAAAATAATAATAATAATAATAATAATAATAATAATAATAATAATAATAATAAAGAAGATCATATTTGTCATACTTTGTAGTTATTTTCTTTTTCTGTCATTTTAAATAACCAAACTATTTACCAGGAAAAACTAGTCGGTACATTCCATCGACTTAATTTGGACATTGGTGGCTTGGGACCTACGACGCCCCCGAGGGAGCGGCGTTGGCGTACGACCGGGCGATAAACCGGATCCACGACGCCAAGGCGAAGCTGAATTTCCCGCCCCTGGTCGAGACCAATGGGTGGGAGCTGGGTCGGGTGGTGGGATCTGTGTCTAGTAAGCGGCGGGTAGGAGGTGCTGATGCAGAGGTGGAAACGACGCCGTCGGAGGTGGGGAGTGAAGGGTACGGTACGTCTACGGCGGCGGGGTGGCGAGTAGTCGCACGATTGAGTTCGGCGAGAGGAGTGACGATTTCTCGGTTTTGATGGGTTCCTGGATGGTTAACAACCAGGCTTTTGTGGATTTGGATTTTGTTGTTTGTGTTTTTATGTTATGCGTTGCAATCTTTAGTACTTGACGATTTAAGAGTGTTGACTGGAAGCTATGAATACTCATTTCATTGCAATCGATTTCGAATCAAATTATAGTTTGAAGAATTGGATGATGCAGAATTGAAATTGTACACGAGGCACGAGATTTTACGTGGTATTGTCGATCAATTGATTAATCAAGACTAATCTACGGTGAGCTCGAAAGAGCTCACGACTAACGTTTTATTGAACGACTACATTGTGACGTGACGTCTTGCTTATGACAATCTCCGTTTCTAAACTTATATAGACGTAGGATTAAAACCCTAATAACAACCAAGTTTCCTTCTTTGACAAGAACTAGGAAACAAGGTACTTGGAGGACAAGGAATTAATTACTTTTGACTAAGTAAGTAATATCCTCAACACTCCGCCTCAAGCGAAGACATGAATGACAAGAACGTCAAGCTTGAAAAAGGAAATGTGACGAACAAGCATGACAAGCTTGAACAACAAAACTCGAGATGAATAACATCTCAGACGAGGTTGATTGGAGATGACTGACTCTATCTTTGAACAACCTGATGATGGAGACTGTTGAATGCGTCTTCTTGAACTTCGTGACGAAAACGGTTGATTGCGTCTCTTGAGCGACCTGACGGAGATGGTTGATTGCGTCTTCTTGAACTTCGTGATGAAGACGGTTGATTGCGTCTCTTGAACGACCTAACGGGCACGGTTGACTACATATCTTGAACTCACTTGATAAATCGCGATCGACTTTATGACTGAGCTAGTCGACCAACGTATGTTGACTCCCTATTCTCCCCCTCAAGCTGGAGCATGAACGATGGGCATGCCCAGCTTAAAAGTTAGAATGGTGAGGACGCAAAGTTGACCAATTCTGAACGCGGAGGGGACGATCGCTTCATTGATAGTGATTGCCTCGCACCTTTAGAAGAATCATACGTTCCTAACAAAGCCTAGGGAAAGAAAATACATTTCTCCATCATTACACAAAACTTGCTCTTCTTTCATTGGCGGCTTTGTGATCTTTGATAGACCGATAATTATACATGTTTTCACCCCTATCATGAAGCCGTTTGAGATGTGGATTCTAGCGTTTTAAGCCGATTTCACGCTAGGTTGTGTGTTTATGTCATATTTCAGATCTCGGCGTTGGAATCGAGGCGGAGAAACGAGTTCTGGATCGAAAGGAGCGAAGTTGGGGCAAACGGGGCTGCAGGAGGAAAATACCCGGTCAGGTGGCCAAATACCCGACCGGGTATTCATCACTTTTGGGCGCCCGAGAATCAGAGAGGGGCCCGGGCAAAACAGCAAAATCCCCGGTCGGGGATTATGGCGAGCGACCGGGGATTTCTCCTTTAAATGAAATGGTGCGCTGCGATAATACCCGGTCGAAACCCAAGATACCCGACCGGGTATTTCGACCGGGTATCGCGACCAGGCAGCTGATATAAGGAAGAAGAAGGCCAACATTGGAGGGTTCCGAGTTTTTGAGAGAGAAAGCGATACCTAGAGAGAGAAAGCGACGAACCAGAGTTCCCAAGCGCCATAGATCGATCTTCAACACCATTGGAGCCCGGTTTGAGCTTGGAGAAGTGCGATTAAACGTCCAGGAGCAGAAATCCATCTTCACAGTATGATTTCCGCGTCTGAATCTGCTTTTGCTTCTTTCTCTATGGAGTAGTTTCCCCATTCATCTGGGTATGGGGAACCCTAGATTTGTATGCTAGGTCTGATTGTATGAACCCAAGTACAGAGTTTGTGAATTGATTATATTCGATTGAGGTTTGAATGATTGAATGACTTGAATCCTGATCAAATTCCTGTTGTTTCTGCTTTGACCTAGAATGAGAATATCTGCCTAGGTTGATAGAGTACCCTTAATCGAAGGTGGCGAATTGGTGACTTTAGTCGAGGAGCCAATTCGCTATTCTGTACCGAATTCAATTCGGTAGTGGAGGTTTGGTTCGTTAGGGCCTCAATCTGTTTACTCCGGTGGAGGCTAGTCGCCCGCTAGAGACTCAGATTGAGAGGGTCTGGAGACCTTTAGTCGAGACTTCAGGCTAATTGAGAACCTTCCGCAGTATAACTTTCATGAAAACTGAACTTGGTAAATTGCAATCCGACTTAACTGCAGTCTAGGGGGAACCGTATCCGGGTGACCTCTCTTGACTTGACAACAACCGTTTACTTGCTTTGTGTTTTGTTTGCTTGAGTTGCACTAAAAGTTCACCGCTAAATAACAAGAATTCACCGAGTAGTCATCACATCTAGGACCCGGGTTGACATTAAAACCCAAACCCGCTATACTACGCTTTGGGAAGTGGTTGCACTTGGCCATTTTCTAGAGTGACAGTAGGAGTGAGTCAATCTTTATGAAGATGGCAGGACTACAACAGTAACAAAACTCCGTGACATGTGAAGATTGAACAAGTTCCACGAACACAAGGCAGGGGAACAATGACAAGTTAAAGGGAAGAGCTGCTGCGGACGAAGAAATGGCGGAAGGGAACTGATACAAAGGCGTTTCCTGGTTCGTGGGCCTTGGCAGGAGACCGTCGAGCTCATCAAGGCCTACCACGACAAGTGGTTCGCCATCAACCGTGACAATCTTTTGGCTGCCAAATGGGACACCGCCACCATCGCGCTGGCCGACTCCCCAGCCCCTTCCGACCCTCCCAAATCCACCGTCCAGTGCCGGCACAAGATCGAGAAGATACGGAAGTGCTACCACACCGAGAAGCAGCGGTGCATCAATTTCCCAGGTCAGTTCTTTTCTTCCTGGGACCTGTTCCCTCTCTTGGATGTCACGTCATAATTTAACGGTCCAGTCAGCTGTCCTGTTTGCCGCGTCATAAAAAACTGACGGAGTCTGACGACCGGTGAAATGAATCATAAAGTTGGTGGTGAATATGAAAGAAAAGTAATTCGAGTGACAAATATTAAAAATTTATATAATTTGAGTGACCTAACGTGTAATTTAACCGGAAAAAAAAAATCAAAAAGATGTTGTCATATGGGCCGGATCTTGGTAGGAAGAACCTCCGTTCGGCCAAAAAATGTATTGGGCCTAATAAAAGGGAGGGAGGGAGTCCGCCCTAGGGCCGGCCCGGACCGAGTCCGATAGAAAAGCGGCAGCAACTCCTTATAAATAGATTCTTCTGGTTCTGATTTCTGAAAGAAAAAAGAACCAACCTATATTGTACTGTTTTCCCCCTGATCGCGATAAGAGGTTCTTTGGCGAGAGTCGACCAACCAATTAGGGATCTTGCTTGCCAATGCCACCGGTAGGTCTTCCTCAATGGTTTCTTTGATTTATTTCAGCGTGCTAATTGATTAGAGAGCGAGGGAGAATCGAATGGATGAATGTCGGCTGTTTAGGGTTTCTTTCAGAGATCGTAGGTGTTTGATTCCCTGATGATTTGAAAGTTTGTTGGCCGCTTGATTGGACTTGCAAACTGTTTCTGTCACTGTTGGTTGTTTAGGGTTTCTCAGTAATCGTAGGTGTTTAATTCCCTGCGTTTGAAATTGCAATCATCGTCGATTGCTTGGACTTGTAAACTGTTTCTGTCTCTAATAACTGCTTCCGATCTCTGATGCATACCACCTGCTTGATGATTTGTGATCTATCTGCCGCGGCGAGAGCAGATGCTGGTCTGGTTTTGCCTAATCCGTATTGGGTTCTTGTTGGCGTCTTCATTTTGATTGATTTCTAGGTTCAACCTGGCAGCTAGATACATGCTTACCTGACTGCGCTGTTGTTGCCTTCTCACTGCTCTTTAGAAAGACAACCAGTCTTACTATCAACTGCTTGTTAAAAACAGATGGATGTTTAATTGATTTCAGCAGGTACCTGCTGCTACCACCATGGAGGTTGGATCTCAAGAAGAAAAGCCTCGGAGGTGGGGCCCCGAAGGCCCCATGTGGGAACACGTAATGCAGATCCACAATGTGATGGATGTCAGATATAAAAGTTGGACGGCGGAAGACCTCCAGGAAGCATCGGGCCTCCCAGCTATGGAGGTCGGGAGGTGCATTAAGAGGCTTCTGGAAATCGAGGAAATCGTAGAGGTGAACAGCCCTGACTACGAGCCACGGGGGGATACACAGTACATGAATGCTTATTTTGCTGAAGAGGAATTCAATCCGTTCTTCGAGTTTTGGAGGAAGCATTGTTTGGGGATCATAGACAGCCAGGAGGTGGTTTCTCTGGAGAGAATTACACACCTGCTGCGGGTTAGCGCGCGTACTGGGCTCTCGCTCCAAATGCCCGAACAGAGCGTCAAAGAGCTGTTGATTGATCCTCTGGTTCTCAGGAATGGAGTGATTGAAGTGGTGAGCAATGGGATGGGGGAGTTTGCTTCCATACCTGCGGGCCAACTTTGTTATAAGCGCCCCGCTTAATTGCTAGGCACTGCCGCTAGCTAGCTGGCATGGTATAGCTTTATCCTCACCAGCATGATGCGGACTTCTTGTGTTTACTGCCCTGCGACAAGTGAAGTAGCTACCTTCTACTTTTGAACTCGATCGACCTAGTATATTTATATGATTGTGGAGTAATGTCGTTAGCTATCTAATGTTATGTTTAAGAATATTGGCTGAGATCAGTACCTTTCTCTTTCTTTCTTTCTTATGGGAAAATTGTTGGCGACTCTCGTCTGTTTGCTTAATCACTTGCTTCTACGTTGTGTCTAGATAGCGAGGTTGAATGAACTACCAAGTTTTGTGCATTTGGCAATAATTACAATTAGTACTCAACATGGTATCGGCAGCTAATTACAATTAATACAGCAAATACGTTTATTTTACGGTTTTCATATGACGCTTGACGGCTAAGCTAGGTTAAAAAGTATGGAAGGAGTTCTGACTCTTCTTAGAACATTATAACATTCAATTAGGAATGACCATTAGGTCGAGATGAGTTTTAGGTACAAATTATTTATTTGTTGGTGAACCACGTAACAGTCATATGGCCCTTGTTTCCAGGCCCATTCTGAATCTCCCACAACCCAATAACAATTGACTTCCCAAGTCTAGTCCACCCCCTTAAAAATACTCGATCTAGCTCTCTTCCGCCGGCGTTTTTCTCTCTATTGTACAAGTAATTCACGTAAATATCTATACGTTCTTTAGTTTATTAATATTGTCGATTTCTCAATTTGTTCATGGGCTTTGACTTTTTTTATTATTATGAGATATGACAATAAAAACAAAATAAAATGAAAGCAACTCTAAACTAAACAGAAAAAGGGCTTTTCTTGCCACACTATAGGCAACTCGATTGGCAGTTATAGGAACCGCACAAACCTCTAAGCATATGTCTAGGGTAGCGATAATCTGACGACACTCTCTGAGCAGCGGGCCTCCAACAGCTTCTGACTCTATCCCCTATGAGAAGCTCGCGAATGATGACTTTCAGGGGAGTTGATTCAGAGGTGGAAACGACTCCGCCAGAGGTGGGGAGTTAAGGGTACGGAATGCCGACGACGGGGATGGCGAGTAGTAAGACGATTGAGTTCGGCGGGAAGAGTGACGATTTCTCGGTTTTGATGGGTTCCTGGATGGTTAACCGCCAAACTTTTGTTGGTTAGGGTTTTGTGGTTTGCTATTTTAATGTTCAGCGTTGCAATTTTTACTTTGATAGTTTGAGAGTGTTGTATTAGAAGCAATGTATACTCTTCTCTTTGTATCTCTTTCGAATTGAATTATAGACCATCTATCTATAAAATATATTAAAGCAGTTTAAGAAAATAGCCCTCTCCACGTCAGCCTCGGAGGCCTCCTCGCGATTTCCGGAAATATGTATTGTTAGGCATGCGACTCGGACCTAACCGCACCATGAAAGCACAGAGGCATCTAAAGCGCGCTATGACTAAGCCCATTAGGGTCGGCGCGACTGAAGCGGCGCCAGCGCGAGGACGCGAAGACCTCGAGTGTGGCGAAACCCGTGTACGCGTAGGAAGAGCCCAAAAGCCGAACGACGGCGTTCCAGTCAAGCGTCAACTAGACCGAGAAGCTATGGAAAACGACGCCGCGTCCCCCGAGGTGTTGTCACATCATAGTCCTAGGTACATGCATAGGTGTAGTAGTAGATAACTGTCCTTGTCCTAGGTAGAGGTATGGCCTAAGCTTCTGACCTGTAAGTGGTCATGTCACCCAGTAACTCACCCACCACCATGTAGCCTATAAATATGGCATTTACTCCGGTGGGTGAGGGGATCGCATTTTGGGAGACTCTATCTCTACGACTATCAACTTTTCTCTCTAAGATATTACACTCTCAATCTCGTTCTCCTTAACCTTCGTTCTTCAACCTACAGTTAATTCTGGTTGCTTGCTCTTCTTGACCCCCATTTTCTCCCCCGAACCTCACTCCTACACTCAGTTAGGTTCAAACATGTATTTTGTTTACTTTTTTCTTTTTTAAGTTTTCCTGGAACGGAACCGACGGCTTTATCTCTCTTCTTCTCTTTTCTTCTTTCTCCCACAAGGGAATCATTTGCCTTGAAAACAATATCCTTTCGTTCAAACTCGAACCTAGACTCAGATTATCCACTCCTCCTCCTCATCTGTTCGGAGCCAGATTAGGCAATGAGTCTTCATTATCCTACTACGGCGCTACCAATCCGACAAGTGTGTTGATTTGAACTCCGTTCTCTCCGTCTACACCGGTGCCGCTTGGCTTCAGGGGAACGATACTCTTTTTTTATGCGAGAAACTACGCTTTCTAAGGTAAAAATAAAGAAAGTTTCTTAATTCTTAAGCCCTTTTTTAATACATCATAGTTTTTTATTCTATAGACATGATATATCTCTTGAAATGGTGCATATAATTGGTAAGATATAGAGGTGGCAATTAGAATCCAAATCCATGAATCCAATCAATTCCATCCACCAAATTATCCACCTAATCCAATCCATTTAAATCCAATCCATTTGATCCAAATCCAATTGGATTGGTGGATTCATGGATCAATCCATGGGTCCAAATGGCAAATTGCAATTTGGTACCTATATTTTTTATATTTTATATTTTGGTACCTAAAAATTATATTTTTATACAAAAAATATCATTGGAAAATTATATTTTGGTACCTAAAATTTTTTATTATGACATTTTAGTACCAAAACTTTGCAAATTTTACATTTTGGTCCAAGCTTTGGATGTCATTTGGATTCATGGATCAATCCACCAATCCATTTGATCCAATCCATGAATCCACCAATCCATTGGATCCACCAATCGAATCCACGAATCCGATCCAATTGCCACCTCTAGTAAGATATGAATCAAGAATTGGAAAATCGTACCGGCGGTTTGACCAAAAAAAACTTTCTACCAAAGATCAAAACGGTAGGTGGTATGAAACAGTTGAACCATAATTGAATAACTGTTTTAGCATAAAATACTCTACTAAAGAATTTTCTAGTACAACCTCCGGTATAGTATTTCAATCCTTGATGTGAACGCTTTCTCATTGACTTCAACTTATTAATTTATGGGAACTTTCTCAATAATTTCAACTAACACAGTTATAATTCATAACAAATTGATAATTTAAATATTATAAAAAATAGTAAAATACTACCTGCCCAAAGGGCAGGGTATTAGCTAGTTTATAATTATACACTTTTTTTGTAATAATCTTCGAGCTCGACGTTCTCACATGTCACGATTCACGATTGGATGTGTGCCAATATGAATACTATGTGTATAGCCTTTTTCTTCATGTTTCTGGTTGTGTCATTTTGATTATTTTTAATGATGTAGCAATTGTTGTGGTGGAGGTTGAGGTGCAGACGAACTATCTTGCCGTCTTTCCTCCGTGCAATGGAGAGCCCGACCCACTATTGACCGCTTTCAACTCTGCTCCAGTAATTGAGCAAGTTTCAATTACAGATCAGGTCGGATCCAACCCGTCGGATTGGACTGTGAATAATTACATAGGTAGAGAACGTGTTAAAAAAAGTAGAAGGAAATGAAAATGAAGCCAGTAAAATATTTTAAAATGTCCCTCTATAAATAATGACCTTAAAGTTTGCTATAATTAAAAAATAAATCTCTTCATGAATAGTAAATCCTAAACTATCAATAGGGAGATGAATGAAATAGGAATAGAATGAGTTTAAAAGGTAAAATACAATAAAATGAGACCAATAAAATGTTGTCATATGTCTCTTTATGAATAACGACACAAGTAGATAAAGAGTTAAAAAAGTAGAAGGAAATGAAACCAATAAAATAAAATGTTGTCATATGTCCCTCTTTAAATAATGACCTTAAAGTTTGCTAGAATTACAAACAAACAAAAATCTTAATGATTAGTAATTTTTTGTAGAATGATTACTAAATTACAATTAATACACTCACTCACACATTTCTAGTTATGATGAATGAAGTTATCGTTGACCATAAAAAATTTCAAATTTATATTATTATTAACAAAATATCTATCAAATTGTTCAAACCGTTTCACAAAAGAAATCATAATTTGTTTTAATTCAATTTGAAAATTACGATGCATGTCGGTAGTGGACCGCGTAAAGTCGATAACGAGGTTGGAAAATGAGAAGAAGATGCTGAAATAAAATTAATAATTCGGGTTTGATGCTCTTAGTTTATATTAAAATTTAAAAATAATGTGGTTAAAATAGTAAACCAGTTAAAGAAAACCTAACAATCAAACTAACTACGACCAAATGGCAAACGATACTAATCTGCTAACTACTTAATCACTGTAGCTATGAGACGTCGTTCTACTTTGTGGTTTAATCCATGCTCCCATGTCACTGGGAATTTTATACCAAGGCAACATGGATAATATGTTGGATAAAATTCCATCGAGCGGGTTACGAATTGTACCAAAGTGTTATTAAATGGCTAAATGTCACTAAAATTACATAAAATTTTCATTTTTACTACCCGAATTACATTTCTTTTGTATTTGTCACTAACTTTACAAATTGTTTCATCGTTAGTCACCAGCCGTTAGTCTCCGTCAGATTCTATTAACTCCGTCAGTTTTTTTGATGATGTGGCAAACGAAGTTGCTGACTAGACTGCTAAATTAATGATATGCCGATTTAAAAAAATAAAAAATAATTAATTTTGGTCCACTCCGCTTCCTCTAACTCCAAACAAACCCCACCTAACTCTGCCAACGCCGTCCTCCTTCCTGAACCGGCCCAGTGGAAGAGCTCCTAGCATCGGAGACTCCAACCCCACGGATTTCAACCGGCGGCGTCAGTCCGTCGAAGTTCCCTGCTCCAATTGCTGTCTCCGACCCACAACCCGGAAGCGTCCGGATAAATGGCAGCGCTCAAACTCCACCCAGATCCGAACCCAGAACCAGATGAAGCAAAATTCACCATGGAAGCGGAGCAAGTATGGGAACCCAACAAACT